TCCAGGTTTCTTATTTTGGACAAATAATTTAGAATCACCACCTATGCTTTTTTTTTTTTTTTCAAACTGGGGTTTGTATGCAATCTCAATAACATCATCAGTTCGGTTGCTATGCTTACTTGCTCAAGCTGTGACTGTTTCACTCTCAGAATCAGAATGTGATGAACATTCCGTCCAAGTTACAGAGAGAAGCACAAATTCCGAGATAGCTTTAAGTAAAATGCATTCCAATAAAAAACTTTAATGTTTCACTATGGAATTAAAATTTTGGGTGCATATTTTAAGAACGTTGTTAAACAGCAACAATAAGCACTTCAGCTGAATTGATTGGTAGGAAATAAGCGAAAGGAGCCTGTTTGACTGGGGACAGAGCTCTTTGAAGCAGCGAGGCTGGCACTCAGAGCAGAGCGGAGGCATGACTCCTGCTGCATTCTGAGCGAGACATAAAATAAGTTGTTATAACTCGATGGCTCTTCACATTACAATGACTAAATGCATTGTGTTACAGTGTGGATGTGCTAATCTGGCAGTATTTGTTCATTTTGAAAAATGCTTTCTGCCACAAGAAAACACATCTGAGAAAAATCTGAATGCAGCTCACAGTTTTATCACATAACTTCCAAAGCCCTTTAATCCTGCCATTGTTTTAAGCCGATATTAAGCCGGATTCAGATGTACTCGACCACCTTTTAATGAAATTTACATTTAAACTGACTTTTGTGTCCTAAAAATAGACGTTATTACCTCCATTAGTTAATATAGCTGAAATTTTGTATTTCAAGGTAAAAGCGTTCCATGAGCCACTGCAACAGTACACTTTGAGACATTTATTTCTAATGCAATTGGAAAGTCATTCTTTCTTAAGGGGGAATTGAAAAACAAGCCTTGCAAACATTATCATTAATGTCAAAGCAATTTATTTTTAACATAGTGACGATTCAACGACTAAGATTTCAAATTGTAAGCAGACGCGGGACAAGGCAGGAATTTATAGTGCGTAAGGGTTACATCAGAACAAGCGAAGAAAAATGCCAGCCAATCCCCCCGAGCCTCCCGTCCTGGGGAGCAGGAGTTCTCAGGTGACTTGCCCCTCGCTGTGCATCAGTGTGAGGAAGATGCTGTCCTGGGAACGGTCTGCTCTGTGAACCTGTGCCAGCCCATGGCACCGGGTCGGGCCCTGGACTTCATGACGAATCTGCTGCCTGAACGTGTCAGGAGGGAGGACACAGCTGAGCATAAAGCCATCAGTGTAAGAGGAAATGTGTAATTAGTCTACAGCGATCCCCCCACTGGCTGTTTATATCTAAGATTATTATAATTCCATCACTGCTCACACCTTCTAGACTCTAGAAGTGGTTCTCAACCTTCCTAATGCCGCGACCCTTTAATACAGTTCCTCATGTTGTGGTGACCCCCAACCATAAAATTATTTTCGTTGCTACTTCATAACTGTAATTTTGCTACTGTTATGAATCCTCATGTAAATATCTGATATGCAGGATGTATTTTCATTGTTACAAATTGAACATAATTAAAGCATAGTGATGAATCACAAAAACAATATGTAATTATATATGTGTTTTCCGATGGTCTTAGGCGACCCCTGTGAAAGGGGTCGCGACCCACAGGTTGAGAACCGCTGTTCTAGAGCAAGTTCTGCTTCTCACTTCCGTAGGAGAGGGAAAGTGGGTCCAGCGGCCTTTCAGATAAAGTCCCTAACAAAGGGATAGAGCTTCAGTGACA